TGTGTGTGTGTGTGTGCATACGTGTGTGTGAGGGTATTTCGAGTTATTGCATCAAAAACATGCAAAGCTCCTTACTGCAAGTAAACGTACATTTTAATGTGGTGTAGATTCACTAATAATCACAGAGTCAAGATCCATTTACAAACATTCACAGAAATGAACGCTTAAAATGAATTCATATCTATATCTAAATTTAAATTCATGTAGAAAAATTGATTTTGCACATGGCACACGAACTTTACATCTGCCTGTCACTGGAGGTCCTCAGAGCATTGAGTGAAGCATGCAAAAATAAAAGCTAGAGAGGCAAGAACAGGAAAAAACATCAGTCAAACTAAACACTGCCTTTCAAGTGTAACAGTGTAAATATAAACAAATCAATTGAATGCATATCACATTCTGCCAATGTATTTAAATATCCTGCATGTCATTGAACAAGCATGCACGGTGCTTCACTACTGATCATATCTGTGTAGAAACAAGCCTCACCCTTATTCCCTTCACTGCATTTGTTATGATATCAGTCACATCTACAATTCATAATAACTGAACTTGCCCGTCAGTGCAAATTGAGGATTGGGGTGCAGGCTGGGCAGCTGTCAGGGTGGGATGGGCATCTACCCAGAACAACGCCAGTAAAGCTAGGCCTGGTCACCTGCTGGGAGAACTGGTGACCAATTTGATTAGGCAGACTTCCTTCCAGTAAGCCCATTCCTCTACAGCAATGCTGTCACGCATGACGCCATAATGACAAGAAAGTGTGGGGGGACCTTTACAGCTCAGACTAGACTCATTCCCTGACTCATATCATTAAATCAGCATCACTGAGGTGTAGCAAAGCAGGGCCTGTTTGCATTGCCTGCAGCTGGATAGAGGAGAAGCAGGGTTACTGGCTTATCGGGGTAGCTTGTTGAATTTAAGGTACCACAGTTTAAATGGACTTCATATTCGTTCACTTACTGTACATTTTGCCCAGACTACCTTAAATCCAACAAGTTACCCTGATAAGCCAGTAACCCCACTTCGTAGTACAGGGGGTTGGAGAGTCTCTCCGTTGATATACCCTTGAGCAACATACTCAATCTAAAACCGCTCAGTAAAACGCAACAAATTTGTAGCATTGAACATATTTTTTCAGTTTTGCATATCTGAGATGCTGCAATCTGGCAAAGCCTTTTAAAACAAAGATCCTGGTGCCATCTGGCACGTCTCCTCCAAATTTCTTTTCTGAAGAAGTTGAACCTTGTGTATTTCAGCCGGCTTAAATGCACCCATGCAACAGAATACACCTTCCTTTGCATCGACCCATGCCGAGCGCACACATGGGGCTGCTATTCGGGAAAGGGCACGCGGAGGTCGTTGCGGCGTGTCGCTCTCTCACTGCAGTGTGGTGCATGGCTGCCACTGCTCTGCGGTGTCAGTGTTTCTGTAACAAGTTACCGTGCCGAGTGGTCCTGCCACTCTTACTCACTCTCTCGCTCAGAGCCGCTGTTGAGCTGTAGCCAAAAAAGAAATAGGCGTAGCGTTTTCATCCCATATATGTGTAAATATAACCTTACAAAGTAGTTTATATATTTCTTGCAGTTTTTTCTGCACTGCCTGTCCAGTCACATTTTTGACACATTGTCTGATGCATAAATATGTAGAAATGTTGAATATGTAGGTAGCATTTCAGCCTCACACCTCCAGAGCTGAGTGTTTGAATCAAGCCTCCAGCTCTGTATATGTGGCTTTATCCCTGTGTTTGTTTGTGTGTGTTTCCTCCAGGGACTCCAGTGTCCTCCAGTTACCCAAAAACGTGCAGCTCCATGGGTTGGGGTCTCTGTATCCTCCTGAGACCCAAGGAAAAAAGTGTCCTTCAATTTTAGGTTATTTGTCTTTGGAGGAAATAAGACATCTTACAATTTAGTTTTTTTCAAATTTATTTTTATTTTTAATTTCACAGCATGTCCTCTTTAGTGTACAATAGGAATAAATATGTTTCCTTACATCAGTGAAAAGATAGATGCAAAAACAACATGTCCACTGCAATGGACATAAATGAATGTGTGGGATCTCAGGAGGATATTGGCCCAAGTGCATGCTCTGTCATGAAGTGGAATTACTGTGTCCTGTGCTTCCTAGAATAGGCTTCTAGATGACAGGGACCCTTTAATTGATATATGATTATGTAAGATGGATGGATGGAATTACATAAAGAACATGATACTTCTTGAGCAAGACAGTTACTGTTTGCAGTCTGTTCACCTATTGTTTTCAATCTTTTCATTTTTCTGATGACATAATTTATTGGTGCAATATGGTTCAATGGCTCAACCAACAATTTGAATTAAAGTTCACCCCTCCCAATTTACTTTTTAATATTATCCGTGGACAGAAACTTTATGGCCAAATGAATGGCCCTCTTTCAAGCAGAAGCTGATGAGATTTATTGTGCCAAGCAAAATGTCAAACACACGGGCTTCACAACAGATTCTTCCTTCATTCCTCACAGATAGGAACCCCTGTTTCGTTACTGTAAACTTCACATTCATTCTAATTTTTAGGCAACCTTAACACAACAGCCTCTTTCAGTGGCTGGCGTTGTAAAGGCTCTCCTGGGGTGACCACATATGAGGGGTCTTTCCTTCTCTGCGTGCTGTGATTCACTGACCTTCAGAATGGTGCACAGCACCAGGGGAACGCCTTGCCAACCCTACGTGCATGCAACAGAGAACGTCCTCCTGGCTCCGTTGAATACCGAGTATGTTTAAAACTTAGCTACCTTAAACAGTAAACGTGTCTCCATTCTACCAATTTGTATAAATAGCTTAAAGTAGGACATATATATATAATACTTTCCTTTATTCACAAACCTAAATATCCAGATATACTAGATTAGAACTACTGCCACTATATAGATAGTATTACTGTCGCTGTTGAAGCTGCTGCTGGTATTATAACTGTTTTCAAAATCCAAATATGTCGATTGTATATGTACACTAACCTATTTTCGATTATTTGTTGAAAAGGCTTTCCTTGCTTTATAGATACACGATTTATTCGTACCATTCACAGGTAAATGTACAATTAGTGTGTATCTGACAGTGTAATTCATAAGCCGGCGTCCCCTTTAAACTGCCCACGCTGCGCAAAGGTAAGGAGTGGTGGGGACGAGCGCTGTGCGGTCCTTCGCCTGTTTTCCAGAGCTCTAGTCTCTTTGTATGCATGGCAACGGCCGACTGCAGACTTCTCTCTAATCTTCAACTTTTAGGCTTATCGCTATTAGTGGAAAAAAGGTGAAGACGGAGTGACATCGCTTGTAGTCGAATTTCCAACATGAGCTGTGCAGTGGCGCTAATTAAGAAGGAATCGCAAGTGAGGCGCGGAGAATTGAAACGGACACCAAAACGGGAGATTAGCGTCATGTATACAGCCTAACAAGGGTGATTTTTCCTGCATGCTATTTCTAATGCTTAAAACTTTGAGTAGTTCGAATGCTTATCAGATTGCATGCGATTGCAGCATATGATGTGCTCGTTTTTACAGCGCATTAGTCATGGCTTGGGCATGTCACTGTAGACACCACCTTTGGCGACTTGCAGACAGCTAACGGCACCTATAGCGCTTGCATTACGGAAAATCGAACCTGTGCACGAAAAAAAAACAAGACCTCAAGCATTCTGGGAGGGTTTGCCTGCGATGCATGCACATGAGTGCGAAAATGTGTCAAATTATCACAAAGACGAATTTGTGGTAATTAAGAATACATTTAAAGGGATGCGTTGGTACCTGGAACCTGGCGCTTACGATACATGTCGCCAATCTGTCACACCTTCGAGACGAAAGATCAATATTTGTGGATTCTTCAAGGGGTCAGGTATTACGATGGGTTAAGTGGGGCAGAACATCGGCTCCCAAATAAACGCAGCCGCGAACAAAATCCATCCTGGAGGACTGCGGAATTTTGTGTCAAAAAATGTGAATTTCATTTGGTTTTGCTCTGATCTAAAGCCATAAACGCAAATCTCTTGCGGAAAAAAATATATATCTATATAAATTGAGCGCAACGCCTCCCCTCAACCTCCCTTGCTTAGTTCTTTGCAGATATTGCTTTTGAAAACAGTATCGGGACTACCTTTGCTACTGTTTGTTGCAGGCAACGTCATATCTTCTAAGGACACTGGGGACGCCCAATTCTGCTGATCTTTGCTTCTCTGGAGTGTTAGAGAGAGCCTTAAGGCATAGAGATAAAGGGATCGACTCTACCATAATCTCTAGCCAAATTCTTTCTCCTTTTTTCCACCCAGCGAGCATCTATTGTTGAGGCAAGGGAGCCAGAGGGGCGGACGAGTTACCCGCATCCCTCCTTCCACCCGTCCCCGTCCCCCCCCCCCCCCCCCCCCCCCCCCCCCCCCCCC